TGGAGGACAAGAATAGTTCTAGACCCTGACATATCCTACAGTCAGGATGGGAAGAGTTTTCTTTCTTGCACCTTGCCTTTAATTTAATTCTTGTTTTAAGGACTATTTCCTAGACATTCCTTGCATTAAATCCAAGTTATGTCTTTTCACCTGTGCAATAAATATGGAATGACAGACATTAAATGCTGGAAGTTATAAACAAAATGAGAGAATTCAACCTTCTCATTTTACTGATGAGGACACTATGACTGGGGTGGGGGATGGGTAGAGTGACTGCCTAAAGTTCGTTAGAGACAGGGATGAACTACAACCTGTGTCTCCTGGCCTCAGGCCCAGTCTCCATTGACTGGACCCCCCTTCCCTGTCCCCATGAGGAAGATAATTTAAGAAATCTAGATCTAGAAAGAATAGGAAACACCCCCCACCATAAATGAACAGTATCAGTATGTAATAGGGCCAAAATGAAGTAACATTTCTCCACCCACCCCCCTCTGAGAGGAATTAAAAAATCACCCTGATGCCTCATTTTACAGGCCAGCTTGTTAAATCCAGGCTCCAGTGGTAATCCACTTGTTTTCTTTCTAGAACTTCATTCTCAGAATTCGAGAAGGGTCAAGGCTCTGCCTCAGGTAGGATACTCTGCCTGGGTGGAGAAGAAGCCTGAGCCCCACAGCTGCAGGGGTTGCCTGCTATGGAGGTGATAAAGTCTTGCAAAGCTCTCGCTCCCCCTGTGGAGGGCACCCTCAGGAGAGCTCTTCCTCCTGGGACCTTTTCTCCTTCTCCGTCTGGAAACTCCAAGAGGAACAGGAAAAGAGGCAAGAGGGCCTTTCCATTTAGAAGGGCCACTGGGAAGGAGGCTGATGGCCCCAAAAATGGGGGGACAAAGGAACTGTTCCTAGTCTAGGTCACAATTTTTCAAACCACAAAAACATAGGTCGGGAAGGATGGGCAGATTGGGGTGGCATTCAGAGGGATAACCCTGGCACAATTTACAAGGAAATGATCTTATTTGAAAGTTGTTAGAGTGAGGGTTTCATTATACAATTCAAATCAACATGGCATTATCAATACAGCATTGCAGGAACTTTTAAGCCAAATTGGGAGACTTTAGCATATACACAGGAGAGAAGGAAGTGGAATTCTATCCCACTTCTTTTCAGCTGAGGCAAGGAACTTGGGCTAAGTCCCCATATTAACTGGGGTATAAGTTCATGTTCCTCTGTTGCTAGGGAAACTGGTGGCAAGTACTGGCTCCAGCAAAAAGAATCTTTTCTTTTAGTGCTGGGATATGATTTTGCTTTTTTTATTTTTTAATTTTTCAATTACAGTTTACTTTCAATATTATTTTGTATTGGTTTCAGGTGTACAGAACAATTCGACAATCATATACTTTATAAAGTGTTTCTCCCTGATATTTCCAGGATCTACCTGGCACCATACATAGCCATTGCAATTATTATTGACTATATTCTCTATGCTGCACTTTACATCCCTGTGACTATTCTGTAACTACCAATTTGTACTTCTTAATTCCTTCACCAATATCACCCAATCCTCCAACCCCTTTCCCCTCTAGCAATCACCAGTCCAGTCTCTGTGTCTATGAATCTGTTTCAAGTAAAAAGTACATGAGTGGTCCATGGGAACACCAACTCGGCTCAGAAGGAGATGGCTGATGGTTCCAGGTTCAAAGTCCTAGTGTGTAACAAAGAATAAGTGCACTTGTCCAACCGTGCCTTCTGCCCCACAGCCTGGATGGCTGAGTAGGGCTGGAGCTAGTTGGCAACTTGAGGGACAGGGGGTTCTAGCTATCCCCCTTAGAAACACAACCAACAGACACAATCAGAAATCACTCTTCTACCTGTGGGATTGTCAGGCAATCAGTTTATGCATTTATATTTACGAAGTTAAAAATCTGAAACTACTAGAGAATCAAGATGGCAGAGGAGTAAGTGGAAGTCACACTGATCTCCTCACAGGACCAACCTGGAATTACAACTAAATTGTGGAAAATCACCTGGAAAAAAACAACTGAACAAAAACGAGAGAGGAGCCTTTTAACCTTGGACAGACAGAAGAATCAGCTTTAGCACAGCCAAACTGTTAAGGAGTGCGGGAGAGACTTGAGAATGGGGGTGGGGCACCCATGGGTGGCAGCACCAGAAGGATATTGAAATGGCCAATTGGATCCCCCTGAGATGAGTGAGGTCTAAACCATAAGCGGGGATCTCAGGCTACAGCACTGAGCCCAAAAAGTACACAGGTAACAGCCAGCTGCGAAAAGCGGCAAGGTTGCTCTCTGCTGGAGATGGATGGCTGAGGATGTAAAGAGCTGTTTAAAGGGTCTACGCAAATTTTTGTTTGCAGCCACTTACCCTGGGCTCCGGCAACAGCAGGGGCAGAGTGGGCTGCAGATGCCTGAGGAGAGACTGGGGAAGGGGACTTTAGGGAGAAAACAGAGAGTAGCCAGTGGGATCCTGGTGCTGACTCATCCCCCGTGCAGCAGCAACCATCTGGCTGAGGCAGACCACTCCCTTGAGCAGCAGCAGCATGAGAGGACACAATAACCCTGCCCCCAGGAGGGACTCTGCCCCGCCCAGTCTAAGCCAACCTGCTGAGTGTAGAGTGACTAGATTAACAGCTGAAGGACACAGCCACAGAGAGTAGATTCCTACAAGTCTCAAACAGACTGCCTAAGGTCAGACAGGGTCAACATCTGCCATCATAAGAGGCAGATCCAGAAAGAAAAGGAAAACAAAAACAGTGGTCTCCTACCATAGAAGTTCACACCACAAAGTCAGGAAATAAAGACAGATCAATTTAAGAAGCAGAAGCAAAAAAGGAGAGTCTCATAGATAATGGGAACACAAAGAAACACTCTTCAGTCAAAGGGAAAGGAGGAATTCCCACAAAAACAACTAAATGAAATAGAGGCAAGTAAACTATCAGATATCGAGTTCCAAACAATGGTTCTAAGGAAGCTCAATGAGCTCAGAACTACAGGGAAACTACGAGGAACTTACTGCAAACTATGTCAGCATGAAAAAGGACATAGAAACTATCAATAAGAGACAAGAGGAAATGAAGAATACGATTTCTGAATTGAAGAACACAGTAGAAGGAATCCAAAGCAGGCTAGATGAAGCAGAGGATCAAATCAGCAGGCTGGAAGATAAAGTAGAAAAAAGCTCCCAGAAAGAGCAAGAAAATAAAAAAAGACTCAAAAAGAATGAAGAGGCATTGAGGGAAATGCAGGACAACCTGAAATGTAATAATATCCGTATAATAGGGATACCAGAAGGAGAAGAGGATGAGGAAGGGATAGAGGACCTGTTTGAAAAAGTAACAATGGAAAACTTCCCTAATTGGAGGAGAGAAAAAAGTCACACAAGTCCAGGAAGCACAGAGGGTCCCATTCAAGAGGACCCCAATGAGGCCCACTCCAAGACACATCATCATTAAAATGGCAACTATCAAAGACAAACAGAATCCTAAAGGCAGCAAGGGAGAAAGAGGTAGTAACATATAAGGGAGCCCTGATATGACCAGCAGCTGACTTCTCCACAGAAACACTGCAACCCAGAAGGGAATGGCAAGAAATACTCCTAGTCATGAAAAACAAAGGCCTACAACCAAGACTGCTCTACCAAGCAAGGCTCTCAATTAAAATGGGAGGAGAAATAAAGAGCTTCTCAGATAAAAGAAGGCTAAAAGAATACATCTCCAGCAAACCAGCACTGCAAAATATGCTAAAGGGACTGCTTTAAGAAGATGAAAAGTGTCTATGAATGCCCAGTTCCTTTCACAGTCACCAATACTTGATATTACCAATATTTTTAACCCTTATTAATCTGATTGTGACAATGATATGTTAATTGTTACTTCATTATTTGTTGAAACTAAACCAGTTTTTGTGTGTTTCTTGCCTATTTCTATTATTTTTAAAAAGCTTCAAATGACTTGTTGGTATTCTTTATCCATTTTTTGATTAAATGATTGCAGAATTTTCCCCCCCCAAAAAAAGAAACCAAACAACTATTAACCCTTTTATAGATGTGTTTCCTATTCTATTACTTGCCCTTTAACTTTTTTTATATGTATATTACTTTGTAGTCTTCAACGTTTAATATAGTCATATTGTCAGTATTTTACTTTATAGCTTCTGGGTTTGAATATGTTACTTCAGGGTAAGAAAAGTATTATTTTGTATTTTCTCCTAAAACTCCTTAGATTTTTACGTACTGATTTTTAACTCACCTGAATATTTGCTGTATAATGCATGAAATAGGGCTCTTTATTTGTTGTATTTCAAGTAATAGTGGTCCATGCACCTTATGTGTTGAATAAGCCTTATTTTCCCCATTGATTTGAAATATCAATTTAATCATATATTACATTGTTAGAAAGATATATATACGTTTGTTTCTAGAATGCTCATTTTATTTCATTGATGTACTTGATCATTTCTGTGCAGCTGTCATGATTGCTGAGACTTTATAATGTACTTATTTTTTAATATTTTATAATGGATCTTGACATTAAAAATAAATAAAATCAATCTGCATTAAAAATAAAGAAATATAGAAGGAACTCCTACCTTTTACGACAACATGGATGGAACTGAAGAATATTATACTAAGTGAAATAAGCCAGTCGGTGAAAGACAAATACCATATGATCTCACCTATAAGTGAAATCTCTTCAACAAAATAAACTAATGAACAAAATAAACCACAGGCAAGGAAACATGGAGCAGACTGAAAGTGACCCGAGGGAATGGGGAAGGAGGACAATGGTGGAAAGAAGGAGAAGGAACTAAACAAAAAACATGTATGAATGACCCATGGACATGGACAACAGAGTAAGAATGGACTGTGGGAGAGGAGGGCAGGGTGGGATGGGTGGAGGAGAGAAAAGGGGGAAAACGTGAGACAACTGTAATAGAATAAAAATGAATAAAAAAATTTAAAAAATACAATAAAAAATCTGAAAATACTTACTGTGTTTTTTTGAGTTACCATATCCTGAAAAGAAAAAGATAAACTGAACATAGTGTTTTTCTAAAGCAGTTAATTTCAGTAAGTAATTTGTCCCACCCCATCATCCAGAATAAATCATTTGAAACCTCCCCTGCACAAAACTTCAAATAAAATGAGCCTCCGAGAATTATAAAATTTCTAAGAAATATTTATAATTGGTTAGCTTTTGAACTACTGGGGAGCATATATGGTTATAAGAATTTTCCCATAGCAATGGTAATGCTTTTGTCCCAAGAGAGTTTGAGATTCAAGTTTGGGATTCTGAATGCCCTACAACTTCCCTGTGAGGAACATCAGTGACAGCAAGGAAGTACATGGGAAGCACCATGGTATTCTCATATCTGAACCACTTCTTGACTCATCAACGTGAAGGCTGCAGGCCACCCCCACAGACAGCTTTCCTATGGAAGAGGTGTCACTGGTAGGATTCCTGACCCCTTACTATAGTTGTCTAGAAATTTTCAAACTCAATGACAACAATTTTAGTCAGTTAACTTAGAATATTTGTGCAGCCTTTGATTGTATCATTTAGGTACCACAAGCCAACATTTGCCAAAAACAAATATAAATATGTGTGTGTGTGTGTGTGTGTGTGTGTGTGTGTGTATAAAAATTGGAGCTGCCCCATAAAACATTTTTTACATGTTCTGAGATTTCTATTTTCTGACAACAAGTGCGGAATGCTTCTTCTGGCATCAGATATAATTGACTACCCACTTCCACTTTAGGAAATATTATTGTATATCATTAAAAATTAAAACTTATCTAGGTCATGGGACTTTCCAGAGAAGTTCACTGAGGCACAGCTGAGAAAAAAATGTATTATATCAGGAAAAAATCCATTCTAATTTCATGTTTCTCATCAAAATATACTTACTAATCTACCCTTTCATATTTTCTAATTCTAATTATTTCCAAGCATAAGTACCTTAGTGAAAATCAGTAAAAGAAGAAATAAGTATCTAAAGTAACTTAGATTGGTTTGTAGACTGTTGAGAAACTATTGTAAATGGACACTACACTAAAATAAAGTTTCTTATTTCAAAGTCATATGAATGACTTCTTAAAACACAACTCTGTGCTTTAATTACAGAGCACATACCTACGTAGAGTGGATGTGATATATAACACATACAGGTTACACATCTGAAGAAGATGGTATTTATACCAGGAAATAATCCCAAATTATTATGGAACCCAGAAAAATCTGGTTAATATCAAATTTCAAGAAACACAAAATATCCAACTTTGCCATCACAAAATTATGATGTCCATGAAAGCTAATTCTGAACCACTGGTTCTCACCTCTAGCTGCACAATTGGGAAGTTACAAAGAGCTCCCTCAAGACTGTAATGTAATTGATCTGGGGTATGGCCTCGGTACTGGGATATTTACAAGCACTCCAAGTGATTCTAAAGTGTAGTCAAGGTTGAGTAACACTGCTGCCCACAAACTAAGGTTTTATTCCTGAAATGACTTAACACAGATCAGGACTATCTGACCAACACTAAGATATTCAACAATATTTATGTATTAGCTGTATTTTGTAACAACTCACCTTAGGCATTCACATTTTACAAATATGAGCATTTTTTAAAAGTACTGTGTTATAGTTGCCCTGGCTAGATGGCTCAGTTGGTTGGAGTGTCATCCTGTATACCAAAAGGTTTCAGGTTCAATTCCCAGTCAGAGCACATACCCAGTCAGGGCATGTATGGGAGGCAACTGATCAATGTTTCTCTCTCACATCAACGTTTCTTTCTCTTTCCCTCCCTGCCCCACTTCCTCTCACTCTTAAATCATTTTAAAAAGGCATATCCTTGGGCAAGGATTTTTTTTTTAAGTGACTATGTTATCCAAAAAAAGCATTTGCATAAAAGCCACAAAAATACATTTAAAAATTCTCAATCATTACTGAGTTGTGCCTAAACACACAAGTTTTCAGTTTTACTCTGCTTTAAACTGAGGGAAAAATAACAAATACTGATTATATCTATGCCAAAACTTTTTGGTAACTATTAAATGCTGTCTTATTATCCAAATTGAGCAATAATTTTTTTAATGTGTAGATTTGGATCAAATTGCCCATGAAAGGATTCAGAGTGGTGTGTTTGCTTCAAAGGACACTAACAGGAGTTTTGGGCTTTGCTTCTCCAATGAGCCTGGAAACATTCGGATTGTCTGTAAAAGCACATCTGTAGCACATATGCTCACACAGCAGCCAGGAAGTCTAGAACCTGTGATGGGAAGGAAGGAATTGCACAAGGAAGTCTTTATTGTTTCAACTGAACATATAATAAAGCTTTCCCAAAATGAAGTATTCAGGAGAAGGTGAACCATGCCCTTTACCTTCAATGAAAGAGCAGTGTCGGTGTCGGTGTCATAGTACAGGACCACGTTATTTGCCATGTTGAAGCTTTCTCGAACTCCAAGATGGTAGAAAAGTGAAGGCTGTTTGGAGATATCACTCATATCCACCACAGCAATATCTGAGATGAACAAGGAGAGGAAAAGGTGTGGGTGAGAGAGGTGATCTGTCTACTTAATCTACTCTCTGATGATCACCAATGGGGAGCTGCTGCAGTTTGTATTTCTACCACGAGCCTTGTAGGTAAAGCACAAGTGAGGAATGATTTGATTAAAATTATGTACTCCATGAACTCTGGAAGAAAAGCAACAAGAATTTTTTAAACACCCAAAAACTCTTCTGTCTTCAAAGTGCCGGGAATGTAGCATCACTTAAAAATTGCTGGGGGATTTATTTTCAATGTATTTTTATTAGGAAATATGTCATAACCAATGAATATATTTAGCTTATATACAAAGTGTAAGGTAAAATGAAATGAAAAACCACACACCCACCATGCAGCCCAAGATGCAGAGCATCATCTGTACTGTTGGAGCTCCATTCCATGTGCCTCTTCCCAGTCACAGCCCCTCCCTCCTGCCCCAGAACACCTTTGTTCTGATCTCTGTATTTACCAGTCTCCTGTATGTAGCCATTTATATATATATGCATGTTAAACATTATAATATATGACTCCCTGAACAGTACATTGTTTAGTTTTGCACATTTTTAAACTTTACATAAATAGTATCACATCATTTGTATTCTTCAGCTCGCTGTTTTTGGTGTGAGACCACCAACTTGTATGTCTAGCTCTAAGTCTCGTATTTCCACTTCAGCACAGCGTTCCATTGTATGATGACTAGACAGCAATGTCTTTATACATCCTGCCTAGAGACATTTTGTTCATTTTTTTTCCTATTTCAAACTGCTGTAATGAACATTCCTATGTGATGATCCTGGATCACATGTCTGCCATCAACTTGACACTGTAGCTCAAATGCCCCTGGAGTTGTGCCCTAGCAAGACCTACTCAAAAAGAGGGGAGTGACATCTCACATCAATATGGAACATATTTAAATATTCCCAGGAATATTGGACACCATTCCAAAGTTTGTCATTTTCAAGAGTGCATAAAAGTTCTAAGTTTGACTGGATCTTCTCTACCACATGCAGAGATTTTGGAAAGTAATGTCCAAACTTATATTCACACTGCTGTGACTCACAGGGAGTCACTGAAAATTCCAATGAAACAGAACAGAAGCTAAGTGAATTGAGTGTGAAGAAACAAGGTGTCATGCAAAAGTCACATGAGCACAAGGCATAGCTGGCTCTGCTCAGAGGCACTGGGACCTGGGTCCAAGTGCCAATAAACCCTGGGTGGGCCTTTTATTCTCCAATTTATGGGCTGGATGCTTGCTATATGCCAGGTATTATTATGCTGGGTACCAAGGATACAAGTGTGAATGAGCCATGATCTCTTTCCTCAAAAAAAAATAACAGGGGTGACATGAAGGAAATGGTGGTTAGAATTACTGTGAGGAGGGCTAAAGTAAGAGAAACAGCAACAATGGCACCCCTGGCCGGAGAGCAGTCAGGGAAAGCCTGGACAAAGTGATGTCACCTGGGACCTGAGGGTCCATAAGAGTTAGGCAAATCAGGGTGAGGATGGGGGAAAGGAAAGGGAAGGAAAGGGTGTTGGAGGAAGAGAAGACAGCAAGTGAAAGGGGCCTGATGTAAGATGGGGCATAGGTGTTAGGGCCACTGCAAATAATTTCATGGGACCAGAACACCCAAGAAAATGAACCTGGAAGGGTCAGTACAGGTCAGGTGGTGACGGGGTCTGAAGGCCATGTTAAGAGCACTGCCCTCTACCTTGTGGCAATGGGAAGCATATGATAGGGTTGGGTTATTCCTCAATTTTTATTATGCACAATTATAAATATATATAAAAGTAGACAGAAGAATATAATGAAACCCCTGAACCCCCTTCAACTCCCTCAACAATTATCAACTGACAGCCAGCTTCCTTGTTTCATCTCTATTGCCATCCACACCACCCACTTCCACATTATTTTGAAGCAAATCCCAGACAGCATATTATTTTCTCCCTAAATATTTTATCATGTATCGCTAAAAGATGAGAATTCAAGGAAAAATAAATAAATACACATAGTATCAATATCTCATCTAACATTTAAAAAAATCATGAGGAGTTTAAAACAGGAGACTAACATATCCAAATTTACCCTTTAGAGGTGGTTGCTCAAGAAAAGACAAATGTATATGCTGAGGAAACACTTTATAACCCAGCCTAATTATTTATCGCAGATAACTGTTCCCCACAGACATTTGCTTGGAATAAAAAAAATCACACTGCCACTGAGTAAATTAGACATTTGACCTATATGATTGTTTCCCGGACTGTATAACCTACTCAAATTAAAAAGAATGTGTTTCCTAGGGATGCTATTAAGAAGTGGTGACATAGATACTAATTCCACAGCCATGGGGACTCCTTTAGTTAGTAAAGAAAGCAGGTGGAGAAGACAAAGGAGAGGGATGGGAGAGGGAAGAGGGCAGGGGTAAAGGATAGCAGCCCCCAGGTTATGCAGGTCATTTTCGTAGAAAACCTCCACCTTTGTGGAGTAGCTTGTCACTGAGTAGATTAAGTTTTAGTCTAGTGACATAAATTCCTTCCTTCCTTTGCCTTCTCAGCATTCGGTGCTGGGACATATACACTGGCCTCACTCCCTCCGCTAAGGAGCCTCTCTCCTTAGTCTTCTGGGATGGAGAGCTTTTGGTGCCTAACACAGGACAGATCTATATTGCTACTAAAAAAAAAAAAAATCCCAGTTCAGTAGGAAAACTGTCCTCAAACCCAAAGTTGACATTTTTGACTGACATTTGTCACTCAGACCAGTAAACAAAGTTTATGTTGAGGATTTCTATGATAATAGTTAACCAGTTTATTTTTAGAACCTCTAATTTAGCAGATTTAGAAATACTACACATGATAAAATAACAGGTATATGAGGAATTGAGGGTTTTTTCCCCTAGAGAGACCATAAATTACCTAAAAGCTTCAATTATCACAATTTGCCATTTACAAAGCACTTCCATGGACATCTAAGCTGAATTTCAGTACCACCTTGTGAAACAAGGCAGGGCAGGTATTAGGGTGACAGACAGGCCTAAGATCACACAGCTGGCGAACAACTGAGTCAGGGCTGGAACTCAGCCAAGTCCTGTGCTCTAGTTCCCAGATAAAGCTTACTACTTTCCTGTCTAACTTTATGAAATCAAGCCACTTGGGAACAAACAGTTTATTTATCAAGCTAAATCATAGGCAAACATCACAGATGAAAAGAAAGAGATAAAATTCAGATTTTCATTTGCGAATGTACCCTGTGCTCCCTACAACTATTACCTTCCAGTTTCCACTGACAGCCTGCGTAGGAAAAAACCACTGTCCTTGGTCAAGAACACCCCCCCCCCACTACCTATCTTGGTTTAACAAACTTTCAGAAGTGATACCACATCAGAGAACACAAAAAGCCAAGGTTCCTGTTAAAATCTACTTTTAGCAAAAAAGTGTCTGAATTTAAAATCAAAGGCTCATCAAACAATTTAAGAATCAACTGCAATCATCTCTCTACTATGCTAGTGTGAAATAAAGATTAATGATGCATTGTATTTTAGTTCACTAAATACTTTTGAACACTGTATGTTGAACAATTTTTTGAAATGTTTTATAAGTAAAACTGTAATTTTTCTAGTGTGGTTTTAATGTACCTGATTTCCAAAGTGGACATTAGTCAACAAAATGATATGATGGCAAATGACTTACCATACAGTAATTCTGTGATTGTACTGGCTCATGCCAGTCTTAAATATATTCTAGGTTATCTATAAATCCCACTCCCAGCAGAAAAAAATAATGAATATAAAATTGGTGGTATCTAAATGAAAAAACTAGATTTTAGAATATTTTTCCCACCAAAGTCATTTTTAAAAATCTGATTACATTTGTGGCAACAACTGGCCATCCAAAAGCTACCTAAAAACAACAGAGCCCAGATTTTCTGGACAGGAGGCACCTCTATTAACTCCAATCATAATTAAGATCTTACTTCATCTACTTCTGCTCATTTCTTACAGACTTGAGGGCAAGTCAGTGGAAAGAACATTGTGAAGTGTCATTTAAATCCAATTTTCCAATTTCATAAGGAGGAGACAACCTATCAATTCAGTGTCAGGAAGTCAACAAATCCTTACCAAGTGCAACACTGGGTGGATACTAGTTGCTTGCAGTATTGATTTTCAACTGGAAGGCAGGTGGGAACAATAGGGACATTAGGAATCTCTATCTGATCCCCTATGCTTTGCTTTCCAGTATCCTTTTTGTAAGAATGATCAAAAAATCATTTTTATAACTTTGTAAGTATGATCAAGATGTCTCCACCACCTGTTTTTTCCAAAAGAAACATGCCATGTATAAGCAAAATATGTTTACTCACTGAGGTGAATGGACTCATTGGGCTTAATTTCAGACCACTCACAGTAAAATATTTGTAATATTAAGTGTAGCATGATTTGACTCAGTTTAGCTTTCACAGGAATATGTTGCTCTTCCAGCTAACAAGGCAAAAAAAAAAAAAAGGCGAAGCATTATACTACAAGCTAGGGTGCATCCATTACTTTAAATAGTATCAATATCATCAAAATCATCCATGATGTCACACGCTTTTAACAGTTCCAGCTCTGGGTTCCCTGGCAGCCTTTGAATACATCATCTCAATATTTTCATCATTATTTGGAGGTTCTTCTTGAGCTTCCTTCAACCCTTCTATAAAGCATTCTGCTTTGACATGAGTCCCTTTGGCATTTTTTGAAACCTATTTCTTAGAAGGTTTTTCTGACCTGCTGACAATGACTTCTTCTAAAAAGTCTGTGTCATATGTCACCTTTGAGATGTGAACAACTTTAGAGAAAATCAGACCCTCATGTACTGCTAGCACACACTGCAAACTCTGAAAAATATATATCTAAAAAGGTATTTGCGCATATGAAATGATCTATTTAACACTATGTTTTATTAACATTAAGATATTTTTTATACTTCAATAAGTGTTATCAACAGCACATAGTTTTCTGTATACAACAGTCAAGTGTTCAGTTAATATCGGATTGCTGTGGCTCAATTGTCAAAATCACTTCTGAATGGATCAGAAGCACTTTGACCTCTGGTTAAAATTATTTATCTAGTTGTTCAAATGCAGTTCAGTGAATCAAGATCATAAATGTACTTCGCTCATTCTGGCTGGGTGGCTCAGTTGGTTGGAGCATCATTCTGTACACCAGGGGGTTGTGGGTTGAATTCCCAGTTAGGGCACATACCTAGGTTGTGGGTTCAATCCCTGGTTGGGGCATGTATAGGAAGCAACCAATCAATGTTTCTCTCTCACATTGATGTTTCTCTCTCTCTCCCCACCTCTACAAAATTAATAAACATATCCTTAGGTGAGGATTATTAAAAAGAATTCTTAAAAAAGTTTACTTGGCTCATAGTCATGCGCTCTCTCAATCAAAATTTGCTGAATAACAAAATATTATCACACAACTGCATTGAACCAATAATTCCTAAGAAACTACCATTATGAACATATTTGGGGTATAAAAGAAATGTTGTTTAATTTAGGGAGATACATATAACAACTCAAACTGGACTACAACATTTCTTTGTTCATTGGTTCATTTACTCAAACTATGGTTGAGAGAGATCAACAAAATAAGCCATATTTGCAATATTATTAACTCATACCAGAATGCACAACTTTTCCTCTCAGAACTTGGCAGTCTAAATAATAAATGTGTGTTTAATTTAACTAAATATCTAAATAATATTTCTAAGATGTCTGGAATATAGTTGCTCCTATAAATATAAATCGCTACTACCACCCCAGACATTATCAGGGTCTTATTTATAGTATTAATTTCCACCATCTATGAAGAAAGGGTTGGCAGAGCAAACCTCAGACTAATGCCTAAGGAGTGAAGAATGCAATTCTTAATGGAATTAAGCCTGAACTAAGGAGAGTTTATAGCATTTAGAACCAGAGGCAGAGATATTCCCTTGAGGGATATCTGTCTTCAGAATTAACATTATCTACTCTTTGGGTTTTGCTGAGTCAATAGTGAAGGAAATGTAAACAATATTCTGGATAGTAAACAAATGTTTTCTGGAATTTTAAGGAAAATTCCTTCAAAGAAAAGGAGGGGGCTTGATAAAAATCTCCACTGCCCCTCTCCCCAGTATATGTGGATACTGTCCCACTGTAGCAAATAAATACAGGAAAGAATCTGACTGATACTACTCCCAATATGTCAGTCTTACTTTATTAAATTTCCATTTTATTTCCATAATCAGGAAGATTCCTGAGGCTCCTTTCCCCAATTGTGCTTGATAATAAATTTATTTGGTTTGCTTTGGTGTGGGAGAAGAGCAGCTAATGGTACTCTCTTCAAAAATTATGAAATCTGTTTTACCTTCCTTCTCTTTCTTTCCCAAAATTTTAACTTTTCTTTTCCAAATAAAACTCCATTAATTTTTATCACAGATGCAAACATTAGAGCACCCAATATGTGTATCTTGCACTGATACAAAACATAGCAAAGAAATGACAAGGAAGGGACAGGAAAGCAGGTGAGAGAAATTAAAATTCCTTAATTTTTTTTAAAGAAAAAAAACAGTTCCTGTCCACGAAAAACACTTATCTAGAACAGAACTGTCCAACAGGGCCTTCGCCCATGAGGGAAATGCTTTCTTTTCACGCCTGTCGAGCCCATGAGATATGGCTGGTGTGAATAGGGACTGGCCCTATTTTACAGCATTTTAACTAGTTAAAATGTAAATAGCCACTTGCAGCTAGTGGCTACTATAGTGGACAGCATGGTTTTAGAACTTTTACAAAAAAATTCAAAGTGACAGATTTGTATCTTTTGGGTGGAGATATCCAAAAACTGTGAGCGGTACAGATCAGGAAGCCAGGAGAGGTGGTGGTGGGAGTGGGGGCAGGGGGTGTCACCTGTTTAATCCATAAACCCACTTATTGGAGGTGTGTACCTATGTGAAGCCTATGAAAAGGACTTTAGTTATAATGATGTACTGGGAAATGATCTATTCAAGATCAGGCCACGGTCAACCAGAGCAGATGCATGGCACAGCTGAAAATTCTAGGCAATCTGGACCCAGACAGAGCAAGAAAACGTGGCTTGCCTGTTGTATAGCTTTGGAATTGAAAGCCCAAGATTTCTGACTGACTGAACCAACCAGAAGGAAGAGTCCTGTTAGTAGATGAAGGCTTGTTACACACACACACAGACACACACACACAGACACACACACACAGACACACACACCCCCACACCAACACCCACACACACACTCTCTCTCCAGAGAAGCAAAGCCACTGCACACTAATTTTTCAGAGTTAGCACCAGCAGTGAGAGGGCCACAGTTGTAACTAATGGTAAAAGGGATATTTAACCATTCATAAAAGAGTGTTCAAATTCCAATTTCAGAGGAGAATGAGGAGAAGTCGAGAAAACCAAATGGTTCCAGGTGAAGTGAGCTCTGGTAAAACTTTTCTAAAAAGATGTGCTGAACAGTATACTCAGAGTGGTCAGAAAATGTCAACAGACTGTTTTCCATGGGCCCAGCTGCCACTTATTTGAACAAACCTCACACCCTGCCCCCTTCCAGCTGGCGAGGATTTGCTCTGCAGAAAACAGCGGTGTTCCCTAGGCAAAGGATGAATGGTGATAAACTTAGCTTGCTTCTGCAGCATGGTGTGGCAGGTATATTACAGAAATTCGCCAATCATCCTCCCACATGCTTCTAGGTTTAGGGTAGGCACTATTACTTCCTTTTAACCAGTGGAGGAATGAAGGCACAAGGACACCCAGGTAATTACCGTCACACTATGATTATGTATATCACCCAAGTGCCAGAGGCTTGCCGCATAGATGCCACAGGGCTGGTAAGGAAAAGAGCTAAGCAACAGTCCATTCCACACTTGGAAAAACTCTTGTCAACCAAAAGTACCGATTTTAAGGCTAGGTTAGGGCACACTTGTCACGCTTAGAGATGTAGTATTCCATTCTTGAATGCTTGTACATTATGAAGCAAAAGTCTGCCACACTGGTGTTGGGGGCAGGAATTAAAGTGTGCAAAAAGAACACTAGGGCATTTCTAAGAGCCCCCCCCCCCCACCTCGCAACCGCAACACACCAATGCTGACTGTGGCTGAAAATAAAGTCCTATCAGTCCGGCTTCGGGAGCTCTAGAAGCTCCCCAGGAGATTCTAATGTGTAACCAGGGTTGGAAGCCGCTGCTGTAAAGGACACGCACGGGTGAGAAAGTAAAAGGTGGATAACCGGTGGGGAGGGAAGGGCGGCATTGTCTGGGTTACGTATTAGCTGTTTCTTGGGTCACCTGGTGTTAAAGGAAACTGACGCACAAAGAGGTCTAAATACCGGTGGCCTTTGTTTTCCCATCTGTAAAAAGGTATAATGCTACCCCTACTCTCTCCTCCCCGAAAGGCCGGGCATTCCCGTCGAAAGAGTCAGGGCGGGTGCTAAAATGGCGTGTGTGAGATAAGGAGAGCGAGCGGAGCGGGATGGCGGGGAGGGGGCTTCCGTCTCACCTGCTTCGTGGAAGGCGTCGAGCACGGCCGTTTCCCCGAGGTCGAGCTCCCCGAAGGGCACGGGGCTGAGGTGGGCGCCCTCGGCCTCGCAGGCTCGGGCGAGGCACCGGAGCGCTCCCGCCTGAGGACCGCCGGCCGCGCCGTCCTGCGGGCTCTCGTTGCGGACGTACACGGCCCTCAGAGCCCACCGCGGCCGCCTGCCGCGCCCCACGCTCGCGGCCGCCCCGTCTGGCTTCCCCGGCCCAGCCGGCCTCGCATCTCCCGGCGACGGCGGCCGCTGTGGGGGCTCGGTCGCCGCCCAGAGCGCCTCAGCCGGGGGGCTCCCGCGGTCGCTCTCCATGGGTTGCCCCACAGGACCTTCCTTGGTTCCCACCTCCGCCTGAGTAGCGGGCGGCTCCGCCAGCGGCGGGGCCTCAAGTAGTCGGGTCACCTGCTCCTGAGGCATGGACGGGACCAGCGCACGCCACAGGTCTCAGGGAGAAGCTCCAACCCTGTGACCCCCTAGCGCCTTTTGAAGCTCCGGAGCGGGAGGCAGGCGGGATAGAACGTAAGGGGTCAGGGCACGCGGAGGGCGCGGGGTGGTCTGGGAGGGCGGGGAGTGGGGGGGAGGCGGGGGACGGGGGCAGGATCGAGCAGGGCGCCCCCTGCAGCCTCTCCCGGCCGCGCCCAGAGAAGGGTGGATTCGTCAATTGAACGATTTTGCTGTGGCCATCTCTCCAGCTGGCCAACTTTTGTTTTTCTCAACACTATTTGAGGATTTTCAAGTCGAGTAAAAACTCGTTCAACGCGCCGTTTCGGTGTAAATAATATTCAATTCCAAACTAAATAGAGATGTCGTTTTAACCCAGAATTGAGACGAGACGATGCTTACTTAAAATGCCTCCCATTTTGTACTCATTGTCCCAGTTGCCAAGAGCATGGCCCTTCTGAGCCCACTTCTGGAGGCCCGCTCCTCCTGATTTTTACTGTGAACTTGACAAAAGTATGGGGATGCATCCACATCACATTTTATTTGTTTAGAAAACAGACTCCAATTGGACTGCCTGTCCTACCTATGAAATTCTGTGAACCCACAGGAATCTTTACTCTGGATCATACCCACCTCGCGATTTTGGCCCAAATATTAAAAAGTAGTATTACCACTGCAGGTGGTACTTGTATTTAATAGTCAGGAGTACTGACGTTGTCACAAATTTTGGGGGGTTTTCTGTTTCCATTTTAAATAACAGTGTCATGGAGACATAATTCACAAACCATCCAATTCACCCATTTAAGTGGTTTCTAGTATATTAACAGAGTTGAGCGCCCATTACCACAATCAGTTTCAGACCATTTTAATCACCCCTCAAACCCAGTACTCATTAGCAGGCACTCTCCATCTCCCCCCACCAAAACCCCTCAGCCCTGGACAACCACCAGTTTACTTTCTGTCTCTACACATTTGCTGTTCTGGACATTTCACATACATGGAACCGTACAATGTGTGAATAAAGGTTTTCATCTATCATGTATATACACCTATTAATAGGATTTCCGGGTCATATAACAACTCTATGTTTAACCTATAGAGAAACTGCCACTGTTTTCCAAAGCAGCTCCCCTATTTTACATTCCCACCAGCAGTGTACAAGTTCCAATTTTTCCATACTCTCATCAACACTTCTTGTTGTCTTTTTGATTATAGACATCCTAATGGGTATGAAGTGGTATCTCACTGTGGTTTTGATTTGCATCTCCCTGATGACAAAAAAATGTTGAGCATCTTGTCATGTGCTTATTCCTCATTTGTATAACTTCTTTGGAGAAATGTCCACTAGGATCCTTTGCCCCTTTTAAAACTGGGTATTTGTCTTTTTATTATTAAGTTGTAAAAGTTCTTTCTGTATTGTTGATACACAACCCTTATCACATTTGTGATTTTCAAATATATTCTCCCATTCTCTAGGTTGTCTTTTTACTTTCTTGATGGAGTCTTTTGCAGCACGTTACAAGCCATTTTGACTCAAGCAGGATAGGATTTACCTTATAAAACATTTGGCTTTCCTTCATGTTGCAGTCTAGCCCTCCAACTCTTCCCCCCCCCCCAAAAAAGCAGAAACTGCCAATATAAATATTTGAAGAAATCAGGCCCTAATTTCGGTTCTGGTAGGAATTAGGAACTTCACAAGTAATATTAATGTGTACTCTCTACTGTGGCCAATGAATGGAAAATGGGCTCTGAGGAAATCTGTAAAGACACACAGACCAGAATTGGGAAGAGGAAGCTAGGGAAAACTTTCAACACCTTTGTGCAAAGATTTTTTAAAATACGATGCTATAAAAGGACACATTTTCTTTTTAACCTTGTAATGCATAATAATAGTTATTTTCCTAATGTGCCTGTTCATCTGAGATTATTCCAATGACTGGCACAGCCTTCACAAGGGCAAAAATGCCCATTTTCACAATTGCTTGCCAGTTATCTTGCTGTCACCCCTACTTCTATTTTTCCGTGTTTCTTCCAGCGCTCACTGGGGCTCTGCTGACAAAGACACACAGGATTCATGAGTTCTGGCTTGGATAATGTCCTCCTCTGAACACAAACCCTGCTGAGTAAAGAGCCCAGCATTTACCCAGCCAATGAGTGCCTTCCTCGTTGTTGGCCTGGGTGTATGCAGCCCACCTTCTCATTGTCTCCAGTAATTTGCACACCTGAAACATGCCCCAGCTCCTTCTCCTTAATGCCCTTCCTACCCTGCCCCAGCGCCACTGAGGAGAAAATTGTAAAATGCTGGATTAGTCTTTTCTGTCCAGTTGAACAATTGTTCTCTTCTGACCCCTGCCTTGCCGTTTTCTAACTGCACATCCTGGAAACCACTTTGCCCCAACACAGAGGTGTCATTTAGTTGAGAACAGTGGACTTAAGGGTAGAATGGAGGCATTGTAGCTAAAGAGTGAGAGTAAATCTAGGCATTTTCCTTGTTTCCTTTATTTTATTTTAGGCTGGTTATTCGTACAAACCTTGGTCAACCAAGTTAGTTCTTTGACTCATTTAACCTTATAAAAATATTTTAGTTACCTTTCAAGTGGCACCTTCATCACTTTTTTCATTGTACCTAGGGCCTAGAGCAAATAGTGACAAAAGAGAAACAACAAAGTTGCACAATATACATCTTTGGTTGAAGAACTTTTATATAGTAATTCAACAAGGACTTATTGAGCACCCGTTATGTGTCAGGCATGGTTTAGTGCTCAGGATATCACAGCCAAGTTCCTGCTGTCATGATAGATGATAGATAGATAGATAGATAGATAGTTAGATAGATAGATAGAGGCAAATATACCTGTGTATATGAGACAGGATAGTAAGACGCTAGGAAAATTCCTTGGCAAGTGGAATAGGGAAACAGACAGATAGCTCAACACAATGACCCAGCAATTTACAGCCAGGTACAGATTGTCACCAGGGTGGAAGGCCCCCAGTGCCTGGCAGTGCCCAGGGTAACCTCTTCTCTGCTGGCCTTTCCACCCTGGAGATAACATCTAGGCCTCGGTTGTATTTCAGCTCCAGGCCCAGAAATGCAGCAAAACCAGGTGGGCAACACCAGGACCAACTGCAATGACTAAAGACCCCCTGCCCTGTCATTGACCAATCAGTGGAGACCATGACCCTGAAAGGGCACACCTGGAAAACATGGTAGCTTTCCAAGTACCACATTTTTAGGTGATACCCCTCCTTTCCAGACCCTGCAATCATTTTTTCATGACATAATTTCCAGGCTACTAACCACCTTGATGATTCTCTTCTAGAAGATTCCCAATTTGTCTCTATTTCTGTTTTGTGTGTGCAAAAGACTATTTAAAATTAAACATCTTTATTTTGAGATAATTGTAGGATCATATGCAGTTGTAAGAAATCATACAGAGAGATCTGGTACTTTAACCAGTTTGCCCCAATGGTAGCATCTTGCTAAACTATAGTACACTATCACAACCAGGACATTGACATTGACACAATCGCAATACAGAACAGTTCCATCACCACAAGGATCTCTTCTGTTGTCCTTTGAATGCCACACTCATTTCCCTCCTTACCCATCATACTTAACCTCTAGTAACCACTAATCTGTTTTCCATTCCTACAATTTTGTTATTTCAAAACAGTTATATAAATGGAATCATACAGTATGCAACCTTTTAGGATTGTCTTTTTTCACTCAGCATCATTCCCTTGGGATTCATCCAGGTTGTTGCATGTATCAGTAGATTGCTCCATTTGTTGTTGAGCACTGTTCCATTGTATGGATGTTCCACAGTTTCTTTAACCAGTCACCCTTAAAAGGACACCTGGGTTGTTTTCGGTTTGGGTCTATGTATAAAACTTCTATAAACATTCATGTACAGGTTTGTGTGTGCACATAAGTTTTCATTTCTCTGGCAAAAATGACCAGGAGTGTAAATTCTGGGTCATACAGTAGTTGCATGTTTAATTTTTCAATTATAGTTTACATTCAACATTATTTTATTTTAGTTTAAGGTGTATAGCATTGTGGTTAGACATTTATATAATTTACAAAGTGATCCCTCTCAATAAATATACTACCCACCTGGCACCATACACAGATATTACAATATTATTGACTATATTTCCTGTGCTGTATTTTTACATACCTGTGACTATTTTGTGACTCCCAATTTGTACTTCTTAATACCTTCACCTTTTTCACCCCGCTTTTCAATCCCTTCCCCTCTGGCAACCATCAGTTTGTTCTCTGCATTTATGACTCTGTTTCTGTTTTGTTTGTTTATTTTGTTCTTTATATTCCACATATAAATGAAATCATATGGCATTTGTCTTTCTCTGTCTGACCGATATCACTTAGCATAATAGCCTCTAGGCCCATCTATGTTGTCACAAATGGTAAGATTTCATTCTTTTTTATGGTCAAGTAATATTTCATTATATATGTAACACATCTTCTTTATGCAAACATCTATTAATGGGCATTTAAGTTGCTTTCATATCTTGGCTATTGTAAATAATGCAGCAATGAACATAGGGTGCATATATCTTTTTGAATTAATGTTTTGGATTTCTTTGTATAGATACCCAGAAGTGGAATTGCTAGGTCATAAAGTAGTTCAATTTTTAATTTTTCAAGGAACCTCCATACTGTTTTCCAAGATGGCCACAGCAATTTGCAATCCCATCAATAGTACATGAGGGTTCCCTTTTCTCCACATCCTTGTCAGCACTTGTCATTTGTTGGCTTATTGAAGACACCCATTCTGACAGGTGTGAGGTGATATCTCATTGTGGTTTTAATTTGCATTCCTCTGATGATTAGTAATGTTGAGCAT